TAATAATATAATAATAATAATAGTTAGCAAAAAGTGAATGAGAGAATATTATACCTTTCCTCTGGATCTAGACTTCTTGCCTGGCTATAAGGTGTTGGGATCCCTGTGTTTGAATGAGCAATGTATCTAGTGATCTCTTCTCGTTTCTTGGACAGTTCTCGGTGGATGGTGTCATCACTTCTACAAATATAATATAGCGTTAGCCATGCCCCGATTTCAGGGTCTCAGGGAATTTTTAATCTGTGAGTTAGCGGTGCCTTGACTTAGATCAGCTAAGAGGTTGTTTCAGGGTTTGATCGCTTTGAGTTTGTCCAGCTCAGAGGTTGTCACAAGGTTTGATCTTTGACCTTTGCCGTGCCCTGACTTCGATCAGCTCAGAGGTTATTTCAGGGTTAGATAAAACAGACCTATTAACCATGGGCGTTAGGTTTTACCATTTCTGACCGCATGCCATTCCCTCGAGTATTATTTCTTTGTTTAACGGTTGCGCATATATGAAGACACATGAATATAGATACAAGTCAAACAATGTCTAATGTTCAAAAGAATGACACTAGGTCTAATGATACCTGTCTTCGGGAACACAGTCCGGCCACGGCAGTGAACTGCCTACCGGGTAGGTAAACCATTCACCGGTAACTGGGCCACACATGTAAACCACAGCAGGCTTGGTCGCAAAGCGGTAACCAGGGTGACATTCAGGAGAGCAGAACAAGTGGAACAGGCTGTCACATGTGACGTAACCGTTTTGGGGATCTGGGTAGGATGGGCAGCGTAATGCGGAACCTGGCAAAACGAAATATATTGTTAAAAAGGCAGAAGAGTGTATTCTAATCAGTTAAAGGATATAAAAAGCGCCGTCAGTGTTCAAGACGTGTGACAAGCACTCGCCCGCAGCTAGTGCTTCTCTTTACACTCCCTTCGTGCTTACGTAACTTCCGGCGCGCTTTGTTACTAAACAGAGCACAGAAAAAGCTGTTTTATTYGTTTTATTATATACTTACTAATTTTCTTTCAGCATTGAATTCATTTACGCAAAGAAAAAAGAAAGAYGGTTATAGGATCTAGCAGCATTTCACGTGCGCGAATAGCGTCAGCACTGTGCTCTCATGCTCACTAATAAAGCACAGTTTTCGACCAACGAGCGCACACTTACTATCCTAACTATATCCTAATTACCTTTAGTATGTTCACACAAGCGAATATAATAAATCCGGCACGCTCATTAGTCAGAATTTACGCCTTGTGCTGTTATATTCAACTACAAGTGAATATAACACGCACGCACGTACGCTCGTTTTGTTGTAAATCCGG